GAGGCGGGGATGGAGCCAGTAAAGGTGAGTGTAGGTAGGGAGTTAGGGAGGGGATAGGTCAGTCCAGGGAGGACGGACAGGTCAAGGGGGCGGGATGCGGTTGGTCGGTAGGAGATGGAGGTGCGGCTTGAGGTGGGAGGAGGGGATAGGTGGGAGGAAGAACAGGTTAGGGAGGCAGGGACGAGCTGGACTGGTTTTGGGATGCCGTAGGGAGAGGTCGTTGTGGCACTGCAGGAGGCCCAGGATGGACATGTCGTCTGAGGAATCACCCGAAGGTTGCAGGAACAGCAACTCATATTCCGCTTGGGACCACCCGAAGGTTGCAGGAACAGCAACTCATATTCTGCTTGGGAACCCTGCAGCCCAATGGTATCAATGTGGATTTCACAAGTTTCAAAATCTCCCCTCCCCCTACTGCATCCCAAAACCAGTCCAACTCGTCCCTGCCTCCCTAACCTGTTCTTCCTCCCACCTATCCCCTCCTCCCACCTCAAGCCGCACCTCCATCTCCTACCGACCAACCGCATCCCGCCCCCTTGACCTGTCCGTCCTCCCTGGACTGACCTATCCCCTCCCTAACTCCCTACCTACACTCACCTTTACTGGCTCCATCCCCGCCTCTTCGACCTGTTTGTTTCCTCTCCACCTATCCTCTCCTCTATCACTCTTCTATCCGCCTCCCACTCTCTCCCTATTTATTTCAGAACCCCCTTCCCCTCCCCCTTTTCTGATGTCTTGGGTAACTTGTGCAGTCAGCACATAATGAGTTAAAACAGCTTTGAACTCAGGGATAAAATCCGAAAGAACTGCAGATGCTGCAAATCAGAAACAAAACTAGAAATAGCTGGAAAAGCTCAGCAGGTCTGGCAGCATCTGTGGAGAGAAATCTGAGTTAACATTATGGGTTGAGTGACCCTTCCTCTGAGATGCTGCCAGACCTGCTGAGCTTTTCCAACAATTTCTATTTTTGTTCTTGAGTTCAGGGATGTTTTGTAAAGGAAGTGAAGTTGAAGGAATGGGAAAGTCTGTCATCCGCATCTGGAGGGTTTAGATTATAATGTTTGATTGCTGTTTATGGCAACAAAGTAGTAAAAGCTTGAGTGGATGATGGTAATGGCAGCATTGGAAGAGACTGATGAACATGTGTATACTCTTGGTTCCATGTTCTCTGAAAGTGGTGCTCGGTGTTTTTCTCACATTTTGTACATTTGTGTCGATATGCGTGGAATGCAGAGGTCAGAGGTCGAATCCGCATTGGCATTTGGAGTAAACCACTGATTGCCCACATCCAGCCAGATTGGGGAAGCTTGGAACCTCAAGTTTTACAGTGAGTTGAGAACTGAGTACAAAAGGAGTTGTTCAAATGAATTTGGGCTGTATGATTTGATGATGTCAGATGGTGTAACGTGAGCTAGTTAAAAACAAAGATCTGATTCTGCAGTTGTTACGGCTGTATTTCAAGTAATTGTGGAAAACAAAAACCTCAGAAAGACAGCTCAATATTGGGATATGGAGATGGAAATTCCACCCAATGACTCATCCAATAGGATGAATGTTGTCCAAGTCAAGACCCTAACCTGATGTGGAATTATATCACAGTTTCTGCACTGTTGCTGGGTCAAAATCTTGGAACAGCCCTCCTCACTGCGCTGTGTCTGTTCCTACACTCTCCCCATGGTACTGTGGGTGCCCCTACACTCCCCCGATGGTACTGAGGGTGACCCTACACCCAATGAACTTCAGTTGTTGAACAATTCAGCTCACCACCACCTTGTCTGGGGCAATTAGGGATGGGCAACAAAAGGCCAGTGAGGCCTCCATCCCGTGAATGTATGAAAAAAAACAACATATATCCATCAACCCATTGCAGTTGGCTTCTTACAGCCGAGACAAATACTGAAGACATTCCTAAGTCTGTTGGAAGGCTCTTCTGTTTTACCTGCACATTCTGGGTTGTCTTCATTAAAGTTGATTGCAAAGTCATGAGAAACCTAGAAACGAAGGGACAAAATGATGCAATATTAGTATCGATCGATAGAAGTGAAGTTACTGCAGAAAACCTCATGGTGGAGCTACATGGTCACCACACAATTCCTGTCAGAAATGTTGAGATATTCACAATGGGGAGGCTCTGGGATTTCTGAGGAATGGGTTCCATCATCAATCACTCAGTGGGAAAGGTGGGGTGGGGGAAGGATGAGATGGCAGGAGGTTGTATTCTCAGTGTGTTCCTGACACTCCCACGTTTCCTCTTGCTTGCATTTATTGCTGGCACATCCCCTGCCTGACAGGAGAAGAAAGTGACTTGAAACGGCAATGTCATGTACCAATGACATTATTGGGCTACAGACAACATGGTAACACGCAGGCTAGAGCTTAGCTGTGGAACTCCCAACAGATCTGCCTTATGAGGACAGGGTGAGTGGATTGGGCCTGTACTTGTTGGAAATTAGAAAGAGAGGTAACCTCATTGAAATAATCAAGATTCTAAGGGAACTTAACAGGGGAAATGGTTCCCCTTGTGGGAGAGTATAGGACCAGAGGCATATTCTCAGAATAAGGGTTCACACAGTTAAGTCAGAGATGATGAGGAATTTCTTCTCTCCGAGGGTAGTGAATCTGTTCAATTCTTTAGTGTAGAGGACTATCAAGGCTGAGTCATTAACTATACTCAAGGCTGAGATAGACAGATTTTTATTCAGTAAGGCAATCAAGGGTTACAGGGAAAAGGCAGGAGAGTGGAGTTGAAGATTATCAAATCAGCCATGATCTCATTGAGTGGCGCAGCAGACTCGATGGGCTGAGTGGCCTACTTCTGCTCCCAGGTCTCGAGTACATGGTGGATTCTGGATAAGTAATTACGGAGGTTGCATGGTGATAAGTGTGAAAATGGTGAGGACCGCAGTGACCTTACAAAGAGGAGGTCAAAACTGCAGAGACCTGAGATGGACCTAACCAGCTAATTTCACCACCCACCCAGTCTGTATGGCAACCCACTGCATGGTTCCGCGGTTTGGCAGGCTCCACTCCAATTTGCTCTCGGGGCTCCAGACAGGAAATCGGGTCTAACAGGGCCATTTAAACAGAGTGGGTCTAGAAATTTCTGGAATCAAGCTACCAGGCATAGTGGCAAAAGTCCAACCTTAATCTCTCTGTCCAATGGTTTGCTGGGTTCAGGGTGGGGGATGGCTCACTGACCATTTCAACTTCCACATGTGCTCCTGCACTCCTGCCCATTCACACTTACACACTCCTCATTCACATTCACACGCTCGCACATTCCCGATTTACACTCCCAATTCACACTCCCTTACTCCTGACTCACACTCCCGATTCACATTCCCGATTCACACTCCTATTTTATTCCCTATAGAAGCACATCCTTCTCTACATAAGAAGAGCAAAACTGTATTCAGTACTTCAGCTGTGGTCACACCAATTCTCTGTACATTTGTAGTGGGACCTCTCAACTTTCATACACCATGTCCCGAACAATAACAGATAGCATTTCAACAGGATCATTAAACATCAAGAGAAAGGGACAAATAATTGGTCTAAAAATGCATGGCAATGAAAGGCCATGAATAATCAAAGTTTATTTTGAAGCTGTGCAGTGTCATCAGCAAATATAATGTTCATATAGGCTAGGAAATCTTCTATGGTGGTGCCTTTGCTATTTGAAGAGTAGGACCATAAAGATGATCGAACACCGAGGTAAGAAATGGAAATGGGAGAGGTTGAAGAGGAAAAAAAATGTTACAGGGATGGTACCTTTTGGAAATTGAGACTTCAAGGGAACTCTGAAGTCTGTGATTTTGGCTCTTGGATGGTATTGTAGTCTTCTTTCTTGTCTTTTGATGTGAAGATAGTTACGGGTGAGAAAGACCATCTTCTTCCTCAGAATGAGTTAGAAATTCAGCCATCACCCGAGGTCTCAGGAACCTGTCGTTCACGTGTCTCATCAGAAACAGTGAACACGGGGGTTCTGCGGGGGTTGGGGGTGTGTGTGTGTGTGGGGTGGAGGGGGGGAGGGGGTGGGGGGGGGTCATGGGGTCACAGCTGCCCATTGACCAAAGAGGTGGCCATGAGATGGTTGGGGGGGCGGGAGCTGTGTGGAGAATCCCCTGCGTTGAGGGAATTAGTAGGTACTGTGTACAGTACTGATCACCATACTTGTTAATGAATGTTAATGCATTGGACGCAGTTCAGAGAAAATTTACAAGACTAAATGCCTGGAATGAGCAGATTGCCTTGTGAGAAAAGGCTAGACAGGCTGGGCCTGTATCCTGTGGAGTTTAGAACAGTCAGACCTGACAGAATTGAAACATAGAGGATTCTGAGGGGACTTTACCAGCTGGATGTGGGAAGGATGTTCCCTCTTTGTGAGAGAATCTAGAGCAAGGGATGGTGGTTTAAAAATAAAGGGATTGCCCAGTAAAAACAGAGATGGGGAAAAATAATTCTCTCAGAGGCTTGTGACTCTTTGGAACTGCCTTCCTCAAAAGGCAGTGGTTGCAGAATCTTAAATAATTTGAAGGCAGAGGGAGATGGATTCCTGATGACCAAGAGGATGAAAGCTTCTCAGGGGTATGCAGGGATGTAGAATTGTGGTTAAAATCATACACAAACAAGGAACAAGAATAGGCCACTCAGCCTTTCAAACTTCCTTTGTCATCCAATAAGATCATGGCTGATCTGATCAAAATATAACTGAAGCACAGATCCGCTGCAATCTTATAGAATGACAGAACAGTCTTGAAGGGCTGAGCAGCCTACTCTTGTTCCTTGATTGTATGGGAATGTTTATGAGAGTAAGGTCTCCTTGTTCCTCTGTTTCTCTCTCACTCCTATATGAACACCTGAAACAAGCATTTCTGGGCTGAATTTTCCATCGGGCGGAGGGAAGGAATGGGAATCTTGGCGTGACCCCAGGAGCAAATCTCACATGAGGCATCCTCTGATTGGCCAGCTCTGCAATTAAAGATGGCGAATGGGCCATTAGGATGACCAGCTGACCTGCAGTCCCACCAAGGGTGAGGTGGGCACCACGGGAGAAGCAGGAAATATGGGTGAAAACAAAAACAAAAATTGCAGGAAAATAACTAGACAGAATCGGAGGAGGGGAAATAGAGTGAAGGTTTCAGGACTATGACCAAACATCAGAACTGGGAAAAGCTGGAGACATGAAAGGTTTTGATCGTGGTGGCATGGTGGCTCAGTGGTTAGCACTGCTGCCCCACAGCGCCAGGGACCCAGGTCCAATTCCAGCCTCGGGCGACTGTCTGTGTGGAGTTTGCTCTGGTTTCCTCCCACAGTGCAAAGATGTGCAGGGTAGGTGGATTGGCCATGCTAAATTGCCTGTAGTGCCAGGGATGTTTAGGTTAGCTGGGTTAGGCAGGGGTAGGGAAATGGGTCTGGGTGGGATACTCTTCGGAAGGGCAGTGTGGACTTGTTGGGCTGAATGGCCTGTTTCCACACTGTAGGGATTCTATGATCACAGGGGACATGAGACAAGGACAAAAGGAAGGATTGGACGAAAGACGGAGAGAGACTGAATAACAAAAGAGGTAATATTCAGGGGCCATTGGGAATGGCAAGGCGGCAAGAATCAAAACAAAAAAAGAATGAAGAGTCAATGGACTTGAAATATTAACTCCCCTTTCTCTCCACAGATGCTGCCAGACCAGCTAAGTTTTTATTTCGGATTTTCAGCATCGGCAGTTCTTTGTTTTACTTTTCTGCAGTTCTTTGCTTTTTAAAAAAAGAACAAAAGATGAGCCTAGAGCAGATGCTATATGAAAGCAAAAAAAAGAGAAACTAGCAAAACAAAAGTAGGCAAAGCAGAGGGGACAGAGATAATAGTCTGGAATTAAAGTCAAACAGTCATAGAGCTGTACAGCACAGAAACACACCCTTCAGTCCAACTCAACCGTGCCGATCAGATATCCGAAATTAATCTAGTACCATTTGCCAGGATTTGGCCCATATTCCTTTAAACCCTTCCTATTTACATACCCATCCAGACACCTTTTAAATGTTGTAACTGTACCACTTCCTCTGGCAGCTCATCCCATACACGCACCACCCTCTGTGTGAAAAAGTTTTCCTTTAGGTCCATTTTAAATCTTTCCCCTCTCACCTTAAACCTATGCCCTCTCGTTTTGGATTGCCCCAACCCAGGGAAAGGACCTTGACTATTCACCCTATCCATGCCCCTTATGATTTTATAAACATCTATAAGGTCACCCCTCAGCCTCAGACGCTCCAGGGAAAATAGCCCCAGCCTATTCAGCCTCTCCCTGAACCCTCCAACCCTGGCAATGTCCTCGTAAATCTTTTCTGAGCCCTTTCAAGTTTCACAACGTCTTTTCTATTTCAGAGAAACCAGAATTGTATGCAGTACTCCAAAAGTGGCCTAATCAATGTCCAGTACAGCTGCAACATGACCTCTCAACTCCTATACTCAATGCACTAAGTGATAAAGGCAAGCATACCAAAGGCCTACTTCACTGCCCTGTCTACTTGCGACTCTGAATTCAAGGAACTATAAACTGTTGAACTTGAGTCCAGAAGGTGAAAAAGTGCACAAGTGAAAGATAAGGTGTTGTTCCCCAAGCTTTTTGTTCAGCCTTACTGTAACAGTGCAACAGGCCATTTACAGAGAGATCAGGGTGACAGTGCGCAGGAGGATTGAAATCACGGTCACTTTGGTGGGATGAAAAGACTTGTTATGAAGCGTTGAGTGAAGCAGGAAGGGCTGGTGTGGGAACCTCAAAGAGGAGGCCCTCACAAAGGCCTCCCCCTTCAGTGGTGAGAGGGAGGGGATGTCATCGGGTTGTCTCCCTCCGGGCGCACTGCCAATGCCTGAAGGGCATGGGGTGGCTCAGCGGTTAGCACTGCTCACAGGCCCAGAGTCCCGGGTTTGGTTCCACCCTCAGGCAACTGTCTGTGTGGAGTTTGCACATTCTCCCTGGGTCTGCATGGATTTCCG